AAATATAATGAAGACTTCTTTCCACAGAAGGAGAGATGAAAATTTTGACAACAAGAAACTAGTGGAGCCAACTAAGGTTGAACGACAAGTTGTTGCTAAGCATCTCGACATGATATGGTCCAAGTTGCCTTATTCGAAATCTGATTATATGTGGAGACATGAAAGGAATTGGAATAAATCTTCCTTGTGATATGTTTCAAAAGTCAAATTAAGACAGGCTCCACTCTCCTAATTAATCCCTGCTAAGTCAGGCATATCTACATCTACACTCTTCAAAGATGATAGATTCTCTTTTCAAAGATGACAGATTCTCCTTTCAAAGATGAAAACTTTATGGGATTTCTACACAAGTCCAAACAAATAAAGTTGGTTTTATCCAAGACAAGATGGGGCATCAAAGTCATAGCTCTGACTATAGCAAGAGTTCCACAAGTGAAACAATTCTTCTGATACTTTCATGAAGCAAAGAAGACATAAAGATACAAGTTGATCAGATGGTTCTTCAGAATGCAAGCTTTTCAAGAGTTTATACTATTGAGTTTTATTCTCAAGAGGTTTTATGACATTATATCTACATCTACATTTATCAAAGATGATAGATTCTTTGATTTGAAGAAGACAGATATATTGGGTTTCTACAATTGAAGAAATATTCAATTCACTCATCTGAAATCAAATAACTTAACATTCATGCATCATATTTTAGAGAAGGTTCATAATGAGAAGAACTCATCTGAAGAAGGAAGAAGAAGTTCATAATGAGAAGAACTTGTTCAACCTTTTGCTTGAATTCATCAAATTGATGGATCATCGTTTCTAGAGGAAGAGTTCACAATGAGAAGAACTCGTCATCTGAAGAAGGAAGAAGAAGTTCATAATGAGAAGAATTTGTTCAACCTTTTGTTTAAATTCATCACTTGATGGATCATTCTTTTCCAGAGAAGGTTCATAATGAGAAGAACTCATCTGAAGAAGGAAGAAGAAGTTCATAATGAGAAGAACTTGTTCAACCTTTTGCCTGAATCCATCATTTGGTGGATCATCTTTTCCAGAGAAAGTTCATAATGAGAAGAACTCATCTGAAGAAGGAAGAAGAAGTTCATAATGAGAAGAATTTGTTCAACCTTTTGCTTGAATTCATCATTTGATGGATCAACATTACCAGAGAAAGTTCATAATGAGAAGAACTCATCTGAAGAAGGAAGAAGAAGTTCATAATGAGAAGAACTTGTTCAACTTTTTGTTTAAATTCCATTTGATGGATCAACATTACCAGAGAAAGTTCATAATGAGAAGAACTCATCTGAAGAAGGAAGAAGAAGTTCATAATGAGAAGAACTTGTTCAACTTTTTGTTTAAATTCATTATTTGATGGATCAACATTATCAGAAGAAGTTCATAATGAGAAGAACTTGTTCAACTTTTTGTTTAAATTCATTATTTGATGGATCAACATTACCAGAGAAAGTTCATAATGAGAAGAACTCATCTGAAGAAGGAAGAAGAAGTTCATAATGAGAAGAACTTGTTCAACTTTTTGTTTAAATTCCATTTGATGGATCAACATTACCAGAGAAAGTTCATAATGAGAAGAACTCATCTGAAGAAGGAAGAAGAAGTTCATAATGAGAAGAACTTGTTCAACTTTTTGTTTAAATTCATTATTTGATGGATCAACATTATCAGAAGAAGTTCATAATGAGAAGAACTTGTTCAACTTTTTGTTTAAATTCATTATTTGATGGATCAACATTACCAGAGAAGGTTCATAATGAAAAGAACTCATCTGAAGAAGGAAGAAGAGGTTCATAATGAGAAGAACTTGTTCAACTTTTTGTTTAAATTCATCATTTGATGGATCAACATTGCCAGAGAAAGTTCATGAATGAAAAGAACTCATCTGAAGAAGGAAGAAGGAGTTCATAATGAGAAGAGCTTGTTCAACCTTTGTTTGATATTATCTGAAGAAGGAAGAGAAAGTTCATAATGAGAAGAACTCATCAAGAGCTTATTCAACTTTTTGAATGACTCTATCACAGAAAGGAGGTCATCATCATCCCCAGCGGAAAGTTCATAATGAGAAGAACTCATCAAGAGCTTATTCAACTTTTTGAATGACTCTATCACAGGAAATAGGTCAACATCATCCCCAGCGGAAAGTTCATAATGAGAAGAACTCTTCTGAAGAAAGAGAAGAATTTATTCAACATCTCCATATTAATCAAGTGAAGAAGAGATGAATGCAATCCACAAGAATGAAAATTATCTTGAAATTGGGGCATGTTACCCAATCAACATGTTATTTTGAAAAAATATGAGAAAACGATTTCCATAGTTTCTCATTCAATCTTTTCTAAAAATGAAATTGTTGAAAAGTAAAAAAACGATTTCCTTAGTTTTTTTACTTAGTAAACTATTTCCTTCATCTGTAAGTCCTTCAGTGCATGATGTTTCCAAAAAGCCTTCGAGAGCTTTTTGATGTTCTTAAAGCCTTCGGGTCATCTGTAAGTCCTTCAGTGCATGATGTTTCCAAAAAGCCTTCGAGAGCTTTTAGATGTTTTCAAAACCTTCGGGTCATCTGTAAGTCCTTCAGTGCATGATGTTTTCAAACATTTCCATCCTGCTCGAAAGAAGCCAAATGAAAAAATTATTGTCTTTTTCGTCTTTGCTCTATTCTTGTTAACACAAGGATGAGCAAAGAGGGGCAGCTGTAGACATCATTTTTTTCATTTAAATTTATTATTATTAAAATTATTATTATTATTATTAGTATTATTATTATTATTATAATTATAATTATTATTATTATTATTATTATTAATATTATATATTATTATTATTATATATTATTATTATTTAATAAATAATTACAACTGGACCGGCCCAGTTACAAGCCAACCAGAACCGGTCCAGCCAACCAGAAACCCTAAACAATATATAAGATTTCAGCTAGGGTTTTCAAACCCTAGCTCCCAGCCGCCGCTTCCAGAGGGCTCAAGCTGCCTCTCCAGCTTCCAGACGCTGCTGCCGACGCCTCCACTGCCAGATGGTCTAACCAGTCGCTGCCGACGCTGCTTTTGCCAAGCCACCTCGCCGCCGTAGATTCCAGAACACCAGATGGCAGCCCAAATCGAGCTCCATGGTGAGTCACCAGCATAGCTATGGTGACTCACCTAGACATCCCTCTCGGGACCGGTCCAAACAGAACCTCGTGGTGGCTATAAAAGCCACCATACCTGCGAAAGAAGAAAAACGGACAGCCACAGACGGCAGAGAACGACAGAAAAAAAAAACACAGAACAAAAAAAAAACGGAGAGAGGAAAATACAGAGACAGAACCAGAAAGAAAAAAAAAAGAAGAAAACAGAGAGAGATATAAAACTACCAACGATCTCAGTCAGCATCAACCACAGCAAGGAAAAAGAGAGAAGAGAGTCAAAAGCTTACCCTGTCCTCGGAGAACCCCAACCGTCACCGGATCTCACCAAAACTTCGAAAAGCCGAAGGTATTATTATAGATTTGCTCCGATTGGGAGCCGTTTAAACGAAAAAAACATCGGAACCGTCATTAGGACGGTCCGATCTACATTTAGGATTAAAAATATTTTTTCCGGCCACCGGAAACGGTGGCCGGCGGCGGTGGCTGGCGGCAGAACTCACGGCGGCAGACGGCCGCCGGACTCCCTCCGGTGAGGGAATCTAGAGAGAGGCCAGAGAGAATTCTGGCTCTCTCTCTCTCGGTTTAAGAAAGAAGAAAAAAAAAAGAAAATGAAATGGCTGGCCCGAAGGGCCAGCCGGTTTGGGACTTATATAGTCCTTCCCGAACGACGTCGTTTCGGGAAGGACTATGCGCGTAATTACAAAATAGTTAAATCCCTTCCGCAGCCCTTCATATTTGTAAACTTTACATTTTGGTCACTAAACTGAATTTATAAGAATTTTAATTCGGTCTTTGAATTTTAATTTTATTCATTTTAGTCTTTTTAATTAAAATAATATATTTAGGATAAATGACAGATTTAATCCCTTAATTTTAATAAATAAAGTTTTCATCCCTAGTTCATATTTTTAATTAATTTTATTATAAAATTTGAATTTTAAATAAATTCATTTTAGTCACTAAGTTATTAAAATTAGAAAATAAAATATTTAATCCCTATAATTTCAATTAATTAGGAATTAGATTTAATTTTATTTTATTCATAATTTAGTTATTTATTTTACATGTTTTCATTTTATTGCTTAAATATATTATTTTAGTGATATTTTATTTTATTATACTGTTAAATATTTTATATATACACATAATAAATAGTATTTTTTAAATATTTATTTTTAATATCGAAGAAAAGGACAGTCTTAATACAACTGGATGTCCTATTCTGATATTTTAAAATTAAAAAGTAAACAATATTATTTAAATTAATATTTATCAATATCAAAGAAAAGAGCTTTCTTAAGGCACCTAGAAGTTCTTTTCGGATATTTTTAAATAAATAAATTTTTTTATATATAATTTTGAAATAATAGAATTATAAATTAAATATATTTCTGAATTTTAAATTTTAATAATAGAGACAATTTATAATTAAAAAGTACCAATTTTGGGCGTTGTAGGGGTGCTAATCCTTCCCTAAACGTAACCGACCACGAATCCCTTTTTATTATTAAAAAGAACGAATTTTTGGTTATAAAACGCAGATCAGTTCATCTTTTAAATATGGTTTTCTTAAAAACTATTTTAAAAGAAAATTTTTAGGTATTCGACCTACCTGATTCAAAAGGTCGATGGCGACTCACAAATTATTTTCAAAATTATTTATTAACATCAATTTCCCCGCCAAATTATAATATTTCGTGCCCGGACGAAAACCGGTTACGACATGTCCTTTTTAAAAAAAAAGGAAGATCTGCCCACTAGTCGATAGTGGCTCTTGTTAGTACAAAAAAAAAAAAAAAAAAACCTGCAGCCAAGGAGAGTAAAGCAGCAACGTCTGGTGGAGGGGAATCAAGCCGAACCACCTGAAAGTGCAGACCAGTAATGACTCGAACCAAATAAAGTTGGCACGACCATCCTGGTAGAGACTTGATCCATTGATGTTCTGACACAATCGACTCCGGAATTACATTCAAGCATGGTATATAAGCGTCATAGCATCTTGCCCAGTTAAGGATATGGTGAAGTGTCGACTCAGCCGAGAATACCACTGTTACAGACATATTCATTCCTCCATAGCAAAGAACATGTTCTGCGTATTGGGCAGCACTGTTTGGAGTCATAGATTCAGACTTCTGGGGCATCTCCACAATGATCCTTTGAAGGGACGTACAATAGTGGAATATCGATATGATTGATTTATACTTGGGAGAAAAGCATTTATTGTTATATCGTATTTACATTTCCTTATTTTCAAGGCTTAGAGCATCTGTTTAAGCTTGAAAAATCTATTTGAAATTAATTTTTTGGATAATAATATTATATTAAAGGGTAAAGTATACAAATGATCCCTTGACTATAGAGTGATGCTTTGTTGAGTTCTCCTACTCTTAAAAGTTACATAATGGTCCCTTGACTACAGGACGTTACTTTGTTGAGTCCCTCGACTATTAAAAGTTTTAAAATGGTCACTTAATTATTCATATGTTCCATACTCATCCTTTTTCGTTAAAAATGATTATGGTATGAGCTAGACGTTAACATATTAACTGTAATATGATAATCGTTTGAGATTTTGATATCAGATATTATTATATCACAGTTAACATGTTAACGTCCAACTTAGATATTGTCAATTTTTTAACAAAAACTGATTAGTTTTGAACATATGAATAATCGAGTGATCATTTTGTAACTTTTAATGGTCGAAAAACTCAACAAAACAATGTTCTATAATCAATGAATCATTTCATAACTTTTAATAATAGGAGAACTCAACAAAACCACTCTATAACTAGGGATCCCTTTATATACTTTACCTCATATTTAAAAAACAGGTTTGGATAAAAGTTAGTTTAAAATATGAGTCAAACCGAGACTCCAACATTTAAGGTCTAAATCAAATTCGACTTGCTTTCTAAACTCTTAATCTATTCTATTACTTTTTACGAATTATAAATTTATATAATATAAAATAGTTTTATAATAATCTAGAATATTCTATATAAAGATTAAAATATATATTAAAAATAATTTTATAATAATATGTAATATTATATATAAAGGTATGAAAGAGAAAAAATATAAAAGTTTGTTTGTTTATAATAATATGTAATATTCTAGAGTTGTTACCTTTACTCTCTCGGCCGACTGGCTGTAACTAAGGTTTTTGCCTTTTTAAGTTTTGAACTCCTTAGAGAACCACAAGATGCAATAAATTTTGAAATCAAAACCAATCCATTAAGCATGGGTGACCTGGAGCAAACAATGAAAGAATTAAACTTACAGGAAGATTAAGAAGAAGCAATAGTTATTGAGCAACAAGGAACAGAAAAAGGGTTGTCACTACAATACTGTTTCGTCGGATTCTACCTAACGTCTAGCATGATAAACTATCAAGCAATGCGCTCTATGATGGTAAACGTTTGACATCCAATCAGAAGCATCTTAATCACGGAACTTGGAGAAGGTCGTTTCTTATTCAGACTGTATAATGAAGTTGATGCGGACAGAATAGAAAACAAAGGGCCATGGTATTTCAATTCCCACATCTTAGTTTTTTACAGGCTTCAAGAACAAGATGATCCTATGACAGTACCTCTCCACTCTGTAGACTTTTGGATCCAAATAAACGAGTTACCGGTGAGATATATTTCAGAACAAATAGACAAGCAAATCGGAAATTTTATAGGCAAGTTTCTAGCATACGATGCGACAGCAGTGACGCTGGGATACCGAGGAAGCATAAGAGCCCGTATTCGCCTTGATGTACGACTTCCGTTAAAAATAAGGAAAAAATTGGTGTTAGCTAATTGTTGAGTCAATCGATTGGATGAATTACCTAGAGGGGATGAATTGACAATTAAAATTTTGGTGGAAGCTTTAACATAAAATAAAAATATTTGCACAACAATTTAAAGTGATTCGACTTTCTCAACCAAAGTCTACGTCCACTACCTTAGCTATCCACACTAAGGATTTTCTACAATTTCACTAATTTGTCTTTCTTTTGAGGACAAAGAATAACCTTACAACTCCCTCAAGAATTATACCCCAAATTCTTGAAACACTCTCTTCTCAAAGAGAAAATTACAAATTTGCAAACTTAGAAGAAAAACCTCTCAAGTTAAGATGTTTGCACAATTCTAGAACAAAGAATAAACACTCAAAAATAAATACAATTGAGCACAAATGGTGTTCTTGAAAGCCAAATGAATATTGAATGGATGTTGGCTTGAAATGCTCAAACTTGATGTTTAAGGTTTTCTCTCTTGTTTGTTTTCTCAATTCTTGATCACCAATGGCTTCAAGGTTTGTTTAAATACTCTTTGGATGAGTTCTGAACGTTGGAAATCATAGTGGTGTCAATATGGGTATCAGTACTACCTGTATAAAATTCAAATATTTCAACCGTTGCAAACCAACGGTATCGATATTGTCCAAGGAGTATTGACACTACTATGTGCAGTAGTATCTATATCATCCAGTGAGTATCGATACTACTATGTAAAGTAGTATCGATACCGAACATGGTATCAGGACCCATTTTGCATTTTGTTAAAATTTGGAGTAAAAAACAAAGAGGTAGTATCGATATCATTGACTATGGTACGATACTACTATATATAATGGTATCGATACCGTGTAGGGTATTGGTACCTCTTTTGCATTCGATGTTTAGGGGTATCGATACTGTTAAGGCAGTATCGGTACTACCTTATTGAAATCTCAATTTTGACTCAATTATGGTTCGACATACTTTGTAAAATTTGTTTCAAAAACATTTTGTGTAAATATCAATTTTTCATTAAGGAGTAAAAATTGACATTTAAAACTTGGAGTAATATTTGTAATATTCGAATAATTTAATCGAATATAATATTTAAATCGAATATAAAATCTTAAAATTAATTAACACTTTATTTTTTATATCGAAATATCAAAATGTTTTCAAGAATCTCTCCCTTTTTTATATAACAAAACCTTTTAGAAATTTTAAGATTTTCTTTTTGAAAAATCACTTTGAACAATTTACTCCCCCTTACTATAAGATTTCTCCCCCTTTTTATTAAATCAAAAAGACTCTAAGAATTATAAACAATATTTCTCCCCCAATTGATATATGTATTTATATATAGTTGCTAAGATTGAACAAGATGATATTCTCCCATATTCATCTGGTCCAAGAACACAAAATAGAATATGGATTGCTTTTGAATTGAGTTGGCATTATCTCGTCTCTTCTTCACTCCACAAATCCATATCTTTGGATGGTGCAGAGTAACCTTTCATCATGATGTTTCATGCTCCCATGTCACTTGCTTGAATAAAAAACTTCATTTTATTCTTCCAATAGACATAGTTAGCTCCATTTAAGAAATGATGCTTTTTGACAGGCTGAGAATCAAGAACGAAGTTGAAATTTGATGTAGAGGTCATAGATGCCTTATATAACGATTTAACTTTTCCCGGATCTTCTCAAGTGGTAGTAAAATATTTAAATGAGTGTAGATCTGATATCAATTGTAGAGTCAATCGATCGGATGAATTAGCCAAGAGATGGGTGAAATGACAATTAAAATTTTGGTGGAAGCTTTGACATAAAATAAAAATATTTGCACATCGATTTAGAGTGATTCGACTTTCTCAACCAAAGTTTATGTTCACTACCTTAGCTATCCACACTAAGAATTTTGCACAAATTCACTAATTTGTCTTTATTTTAAGGACAAAGAGTAACCTTACAACAACCTCAAGAATTATACCCAAAATTCTTGAGACACTTTCTTCTCAAAGAGAAAATTAAAAACTTGAAAACTTAGAAGAAAAACCTCACAAGTTAAGATGTTTGCACAAAGACTCAACAAAAAATACAATTTAGCATAAATTATGTTCTTGAAAGCAAAATGAATATTGAATGGATGTTAGCTTGAAGTACTCAAACTTGATGTTTAAGGCTTTGTCTCTTGTTTGTTTTCTCAATTCTTGGTCAGCAATGACTTCAAGACTTGTTTAAATACTCCTTGGATAAGTTCTGAACGTTGGGAATCATAGTGGTGTCAATAGAGCCATTGTACTGTGAAATCCACTTGAAAAATCTGCTGGGAGCATATGGGTATCGGTACTCTTTCATACGGGTATCGATACTCCTTCGTAGGGGTATCGATACTACTTGTATAATATTCAAATATTTCGACCGTTGCAAACCAACGGTATTGATACTGTCCAAGGAGTATCGACACTACTATGTGCAATAGTATCTATACCGTCCAGTGAGTATTGATACTACTATGTAAAGTAGTATCGATACCTAACATGGTATCAGTACCCATTTTGCATTCTGTTAAAATTTGGAGTAAAAAACAAAGGGGTAGTATCGATACCATTGACTATGGTATCGGTACTACTATATATAATGGTATCGATACCGTGTACGGTATCGGTACCTCTTTTGCATTCGATGTTTGGGGGTATCTATACTGTTAAAGCAGTATCAGTACTACCCTGTTGAAATCTCAATTTTGACTCAATTATGGTTCGAAATACTTTGTAAAATTGTTTCAAAAATATTTTAAGTGTAAATCTCAAATTTTCATTTAGTAAAGAGTAAAAATTGATATTTAAAACTTAGTGTAATATTGTAATATTTATAATATTTGAATAATTTAATTGAATATAATATTTAAATCGAATATAAAATCTTAAAATTAATTAACACTTTATTTGTTATATCGAAATATCAAAATGTCTTCAACACTAATGGACAGCTTACATACGCAACATTCCAGTATGAAAAACTAAAGTTGTTTTGTTACCTCTGTGGGAAACTAGGCCATGGTGAAGATTTCTGCCCACTACGACTAACACACAAGGATCTACTACCTACATGGGACGCTTCGCTTAAAGTACCCCACCGTCAAAGGTCAGTCCATGCCAGCCCTTAGCTAAGGGATGAAGATACAAACTCATCAACAAACCCTGCAGGAAAAATGAAAATTAATGAGATAAAACCGACCCTGTACTAGAATCCACCAGGGGTAGGAAAACAAACTGTATAAACCCAATACTGAAATAGATGTACACAAGAAACGACATAAAGACAGGAACGAATTTAGCCTCTGATGTAATAATGATTGGCACAGAAGAAGAATCCCGTATGGAAAAAGGAGAAAGCATAAAGAGAAAAAGAAACACCCATTCAGAAGCTTCGAATACAAAACAACATGATTCCTCGAATGACAAAGAAAAGATATCAGCAGGCCTGAGGAACCAGGATAGCCGGACGCAATGAAACTTCTAAGTTGGAACGTTCGGGGTTTAGGGAATCCTCAGATGGTAGACCGTCTCCGACACATGGTGAGATACATTAACCCATTTGTAATTTTCTTGGACAGAAAAATTTCAGAACACTAAAATGATACGAGTTAGAAGAAGATTGGGTTTAGTAATGGAATTGAAGTAGAATCACAAGGAAACATCGGAGGTTTATGCATCGCATGGAAGGAGGAAGTAAAAATATCATTACGGTCCTACTCAAGCTCTCACATTGATGTAACAATCCAGGATGATGAAGCAGACTCTAGCTGGAGATTTACAGGTTATTATGTAGGACCTGAAGAACATAGAAAAGGGATTATTGGAATTTAATGCGACAACTGAGAGATAACCTGAATGAACCATGGCTGATAATGGGAGATTTTAATGAAATACTATACTCCCACAAAAAACAAGGGGGATTAGAGTGCAACTAACGAAAAATGCTAGAATTCAGATAAGTACTTGAAGAATGTGGTATGACAGATATCGGATTCAACGGAAGTTGGTATACATGGGAGAGGGAAAGGCGTACAGATAATAACATTCGAAAACAACTAGATAAAGGCATGGCGAACATGGCTTGGATGAACCTATTCAAAGAAAATAATTTGTCTCACCTAACACACTGATTCTCAGACAACTGCCCACTGCTACTGATTCTATCGCATGTACACTCACAGAAGTGACGATGACACTTCAGATTCGAAGCATCTTGACTATTAGAAGACTCATGCATGAAACAAGTTGAATATATCTGGACTTCACAAACAGGTACCGTGCTAGAAAAACTCGAGCGCATACGACCAAACCTTGACAAGTGGTTTCAAGAGGAAAGGAGGAAAAGGGATTAACAGAACGTGTACTCAAAAAAACTAGATGAGATGTTAGAACTGGAACCAACGGAGGAGAATCTAGGCGAAATAATGGAAACTACATCTGAACATGGAAATCGATAAGACTAAATTCTATTGGGAATAAAGGGTCAGGGCCAATTGGCTGAAAAGAGGAGATAACAATACATACTTTTCCACTGCTATGCAACCCAACGAAAGAAACATAACATAATTAAACACTTAGAGAATGAAATGGAAGAACAACACGAAGAAGAATTAACTATTCACGATTTAGCAGCAATGTATTTTTCAGACCTATTCACTACACAATTTGAAGAGACGGATGAAGCATTACTGGATGGAGTACAACCCTGCATAACCAAGGAAATCAATGCTAAATTACGCAAACCACTCACAATTGAAGAAGTCACAAGTGTAATGAAAAAAATGAGCCCTCTCAAAGCATCAAGAGAAGATGGTCTTGGGGCAATATTCTACCAGACATTCTGGCACATTGTGGGTAAAGAAGTTACGAAGTAATGCATAGGACTACTGAATGGAACGTAAGAAATGGAGTCAGTAAACAAAACAAACATAGTGCTGATCCCAAAAATCAAATCCCCAATAAACTTAACACATTTAGACTGATAAGCATGTGTAATGTGTTATACGAAATAACAGCAAAAGTGTTGGCTCAAAGAATTCAAGAACACATACATCTGTATATCAATGAAGCTCAAAGTGCTTTTGTCCCAGGTAGATTGATCACAAATAATATCATTACGGCGTACAAACTCCTACACTCTTTTATCAGAAAGCGACAAGGAAAAAAAGGATACTTTGCTCTAAAACTAGACATAAGCAAGGCGTATGATAGAGTGGAGTGGCCATACCTATGGAAAATGATGGAAAATCTAGGATTTGAAAGCAACTGAATAAGGATAATAACACGGTGTGTTTCAACAGTATCTTATTCAGTTATTATAAGCGACAATGCCGGAAAAGATTTCAAACCTCATAGAGACCTTAGACAGGGAGATCCACTAAGTCCGTACTTGTTCCTAATATGCAACAAAGGGATCTCACCCTACTATGACGAGCGGAGGAACTGAACTTCCTAAAAGGAGTAAAACTTAACAGGTATTTCCCAACCATAACGCACTTACTTTTTGCGGATGATTGTCTAGTATTTGGAGAAGCCACGACAAGAGTAGCAAGCGATTAAAGGAGATCTTAAGAACATATGGGAGTAGTTCTGAGAAGAGAATTAATTTTGACAAGTCAGGCTTGTTCTTTAGTTCAAATGTTATTGACTCATATCGGGGCAATATTTGACGAATCCTATAAGTAAACAATGAGACAAACCAGGAGAAATATCTAGGTTTACCTTCTATAATTGGTAGGAAAAAGAGACATGCTTTCATTACAATGAAAGAACATATGTGGGCATGAATTAACTCTTGGAGTACGAGAACATTATCCAAAAGGAGGAAAAGAGGTTTTCATAAAATTAGTATTGCATGAAATATCTCTATTTGCTATGAACTATTTTTTACTACCAAAATCAATCTGTGAAGATCTAGAAAAATTGATCGATTATGGTGGCAAAAATCAGCGGGGGAAAAAAGGCATTCACTGGGCATCATGGGAAAAACTAAGCAAACTGAAAGGAGGAATGGGATTTTGGGACCTAACAAAATTCAACATCGCACTACTAGCAAAGCAAGGTTGGAGAATCCTCATGAATCCAACCTCATTAGTAAGTAGAGTTCTAAGAGCAAAATACTTCCGTACCTCGACTTCCTAGGATCAAATCTTGGGAAACATCCATCCTATATATGGCGCAGCATATGGAGTGCAAGGGGTCTACTGGAAAAAGGGACTAAGATGGGCAGTGGGTAACGGACTGAATATATCAATCTAGAGTGACTACTGGCTACCAGGAGACAAACCAAAACTCATTGGTTCACAAAGAAGAAATGAAATCGAAAGAGTAGTTGATCTAATAAATAACGAGACCAATAAATGAAGAATAGATATCATAAATGAGGTATTCATAAATGACGAAACTGAATTGATTAAAACCATCCCAATCTAGAGATTTGAACAAAGTAACATACAAGTCTGGTGTGGAGAACATTCAGGAGAATACTCAGTACGAAGCGACTATAAATTACTCATGCAAAACGACAACAATCAGGAACCATTCACAGAAATGTACAAGAAGATGTAGTCCACAAAATGCCAAAGAAAGATAAAAATTCAAGTATGGAAGTTATGTAACGACTATGCCCCAACAAAATAGATGTTAGTACAAAAGCATGTTACGAATGAACCATATTGCAATTTGTGTCAAAGACAAGTTGAGACAGGACTACACATAATCAAGGATTGTACGTTGGCATTGGCAGTCTAGCAAAAACTAGCTTACCAATGGTCATCGCAGAGCTTGAACTGGAACTTCAAAAAATGACTTGGTTGGTTGTTGGCCAATCTCCCACCTAAAAAAACACAGTGAAGTACTAGTTACCATATGGGCCCTATGTTATGCACGAAACAAAGAATGAATGAAGGAAGAACTTCCGAGCAGAAGAAACGTCATGTTTATTAAACGTCATTGCCAACAATTCAACATAGCAAACAACAGAATCCACGACTCTGTGCGCGTAAGCGACGTTAGATGGAACCCACCACCAGAAGACCTAGTCAAAATTAATTTTGATTCAAGATTCATTCAAGCAAAACTGGAAGCCTGGACATGCGTGATTATAAGAAATAAGGACGGGCTTGAATTAGGGGCATGTAGGAAACATACCTTGAGAGTACCATCCGCATTTGCAACAGAGTCCATCGCAGCAGGACATGCACTCCAACTAGCCCTCAATTTAGGCTTCAGACGAGTAATTCTGGAAGGGGACTCAAGATCTGTGATGAAGAAGCTAGCCACACCCAAATTGGATTATTCTGAAATAAGTGCGTTCATTTGGGAAGCCCAACAGCTAGCAAAGGATTTCAACCTGTGTGAATTCAGATTTGTGCAAAGAGAAGGAAACAAGGTAGCCCATCTATTAGCCACAGACAAAACAGTGGGAGATAGAGATGCATACTGGGTAGAGGAGGCACCGGAAAAGGTAGCAAGGCAAGTAGTGAAGGACAGAGGCTGGACTGACCCACCGTAGACCCGATTGAAGGAAAAACAAAGCAACAGGTTTCGACAAACCAAGCAAAACTCCAAGCACCTGCGCGTTCAAAGAAGAAAGAAGAAGAAAGCAATGAGACGAATGGCCGGAAATGTTTTAGTGTAGTAAAGTAATAACGATTAATAAAGTTACGAGTTATATTTTTAATGCAATTTAATTATTCATAGAAGCTGGTGCAAACAGTGTTAGAAAAGTATTTCATAATATTTTAATAAATCTGGCCATTTACTTTAAAAAAAATCCAACATGATAATTTAGGAAATTTCCATGAACGAATGGCATTGCACACGAATATTCTATGTTCTTTTTTAATGTCACAATTCAACTAATTCTGTCTTTTTTTAGGTATGAAAAAAAATATTTTAAAAGGAAGACAAAAACAGAGGATTTAAAAAATGATTTAAAAAATCTTCAAGGGGGATTTTGGAAAAAGACCAAAGATTATAGAATATCATCCTAGTGATAATGAAGAAATTCCAAGGGCTTATTTGTTGAAAGGTCCTTGCCAACCAAAATAACACAAGTTTTCTAAGAATAAGTATAATTATAAGTTACGAAGTTTTAATACTAAGTGGTTCGAAGAGCATAAAATTTGGTTAGAATATAGTGTATCCAAAGATGCAGCATTTTGTTTACATTGTTACCTTATGAGACCTAAATCTAAAAGAGAGCAAGAAAGAGATGATAAATTTGTTGTTGATGGATTTAAAAATTGGAAAGATAGAAGCAAATTGTAACTTCATGTTAGAGGTCCTAATAGTGCTCATAATGTAGCTTGCAGAAAATGTGAAGCTCTAATTAGAAGCAACATGTTGAAGTTGTCAGTATGAAGCAAACTAATCAAGCCAAACAAGAACATCAAACTTATATTATAACTACAATTGATAGTGTTTGATTTTTTTACGACAAGGTTTGACTTTTCGTGGACATGGCGAGTCTTATGATTCTTGTAATCAAAGTAACTTTTTAGAGCTTTTACAATTTCTTACTATTCATAGTGAAATTGTTACAAAGTTTTCAAAAATACTCGTGGCAATATTAAATTAGTAGCACCGACTATACAAAAAAATATTTTTAGTGCAGCTGTTAATGAGACTACTTGTATAATTATTGATGATATTGGAAATGATTTTTTTACTATTTTAGTTGATGAGTCTCGTGACATATATGTTAAAGAGAAAATAGATATCATTCTACACTATGTAGATAAGAAATGAATAGTTGTTAAACGATTCTTATGTCTTGTTATGTTTTTAGTATTGTTCCTGCTTCACTTATGAATATTTTCGAAAATGTGTTTACAATTCATGAATTATGTTTTTCAAAAATAAGAGGATAATGTTATGACATGGCAAGTAATATGCAAGAAGAATTTAATGGGCTTAAAAGTTTGATTCTAAGAGATAATGAGTGTGCTTTTTATGTTCATTGCTTTGCACATAAGCTTCAATTAGCACTTGTTGCTTTTGCTAAAACACAGGTTGCCTTTGTCTTTAATTTGGTTGGTAATGTGGTTAATGTGGCTAGTGCTTCATGTAAAAGAAAAGAAATCCTTCAATCTAGTCAAATGATTAAGGTAAGAAAAACATTACAAAGTGGTGAAATCTTCAGTGGTTTGGATTAAAACAAGAAATTGTTATAAACAGAGCTAGAAACACTCGTTGGGGTTCACAATATAAAACAGTTGTTAACTTGATTACTTTATTTTCTTTTGTGATGGATGTTAGTGACGAATCCAGAAATATTTTTCAGGGTGAGCACTTATATATTAATAACATAATTTTTTAAAGATAAAAATACTAATAATATTTTAAGTGTAATAAAAATTCTACAAAAAAGTACAACAAAAAAAATAAAATTTTCAATCGTTTTCTTCTCGACCTCATTTTCTGATATCGTTGTATGACCTTTTCATTGTCTACATTATCAAATATATCTTTCTCAATAAAAGTAACTAAGCAATCATTCAACAATTCATCTCCCATATGATTATGTAGTCGAGTCTCTATAAAGTTCATCGCAGAGAATGATCTTTTCATTGTTGTAGTCGCAATTGGTAAAACCAAAGCTAGCTTCAAAATTAAATACACAAGTAGGTACACAACATGCTTTTTTGTCTTAACCATCTTTACTGATAAATCAGAAAGTCCTTTTTGATCATAAAATCTTCATCTGAATGAACATAAAAAATAATTCTCAGGCTAACAATCGAGCAACATAAGATCTCCTACATAAAATTCATAAGGATAAAATTAGGCAAGACAAACCAACACAAAGAAGCAACTATATAATTGTCTCAAAAAAATAATTATTAAGTTCTTATCAATTACCTGATAAAATAATTCAACATGAGAATGATGCAAATTTAAAACTTCACGAACTTTTCTCCTTAACCTCCATAGAAAAACAAATACATCTCTGTCTCTGGAACCTTAATGTTATTTTTTACATAAAACAAAGAAACTTATTCAAGTAAAGAATTATCATCCCACATCTCTCATCATTGGTAATCATTACTTGGATACACTAACTAATTGCATAGCATTCACAATGTCTTGATCCCTTCGCTGCAATGCTTTGGATAATTCATTAGTAGCTCCCAATATATTTTTCATCAACTGAAAATTAAACACAAACTCGAAAGACTGTAAAGAGCTCAACAATATACAATCTTCAACTCTTTGTTCTAAGTGTGTTTCATCTTCCTCGATAATTTCAAGCACATCCATCACAGAAGAAAACATGGCAATCAAGTTAACAAAATATTTATAATGTGAACTTCAACAAGTGTCTCCAGCTCTTTTTATAACAATTTCTTGATTTAATCCATGACTACTAAAGATTTCACCACTTTGTAATGCTTCTCTTATCATCATTTGGCTAGATTGAAAAGTTTATTTTCTCTTACAAGAAGGACCAAGCACATTAACCACACTACCAACCAAATTAAAAGAAATATAACCTCAACTTGTTTTTTAGTAACAACAAGTGCTAGTTGAAGCTGATGTGCAATGTAATGAACACAAAAAACACACTCATTATCTCTTATAATCAAACTTTTAACCCTATTCATTTCTCCTTGCATATTACTTACCCTGTCATAACCATGTCCACTTATTCTTGAAAAACATAATTAATGAGTTGCAAACACATTTTTAAGAGCATTCATAACTGAAGCAACAACAATACTAGAAATATTAAACAAGGTGCAAAAATCGTTGAACAATTCTTTCTTTCTTATTTGCATAGCGTAGAATGATAATCATTTTCTCTTTAATAGATATGTCACGAGACTCTTCAACTAAAATAACAACAAAATCACTTCCAATATCATCAATAATTGCACAAGTAGTCTCACTAGCAACTGCATTAACAATATCTTTTTGTATAGTCGGTGCTACTAGTTTAAGATTTCCACGAGTATTTTTGAAAACTTTGTTAACAACTTCATTATGAGTAGCAAGAAATTGTAAACACTCTACAAAGTTACCTTGATTAAAAGAATCATAAGACTCATCATGTCCACAAAAAGCCAATCATTGTTGCAAAAGAAATCGAACACAATCAACAATAGTTATAAGATAAGTTTTATATTATTATTTGGCTTGATTAGTTTGCTTCGTAATGACAACATCAACATGTTTCTTCTGATTTATTAGAGCTTCACATTTTCTCTAAGGTACATAATGAGCACTATTAGAACCTCTAACATGAAGTGGCAATCTGCTCTTATCTTTCCAATTTTTAAATCCATCAACTACAAATATACCACCTTCCCCTTGCCCTCCTTTAGACAAAATGCTACATCTTTGGATACACTATATCCTAACCAACTTTTATTCTCTTCGAACCACTTAGGATTGACACTTCATAACTTATCATTATACTTATTCTTAGAAAACTTGTGTTCTTTTGGTTGATAAGGACCTTTCAACAAATAAGCTCTTCAAATTTCTTCATGATCATTATGATGATATTCTATAATCTTTGGTCTTCTTTCCGGAATCCCCATGAAGAATTTTCAAATCAACTTCTAATTTTTTTTTCCGAATATGAATCCTTTGTTGTTGTCTTCCTTTTAAAATATTTTTTCCACACCTAAATAAAAAAATAAATTGAATTGATTGAATTGTGACAATAAAAAAAACATAGAATAAAACAAGCAACTAACTAAATTGGCAAGTTCCTAGTTGCAAAATAAACAAATAAAAAGACATGAAAAAACAACAAAGCAATAAAGTTACTTGGAGAAATACCAAAAAAAAACCCATGGAGAAAAACAAATCAATAAAGTCACATAAAAATCAATAATACAGTAAAGATGGATTCGGAAATGTGACAACCGTTTTAAGTTCTGACTTAATTTCATTTTTTGCACATTTTAAGTTTTCATCCATTTTTTTCTCTCCTAAAAGATCTGAAAGAATGAAAGTTTTTGCTGTGACCGTGTAGATCTAAATTAAAAAATCGTTAGTGTTACCAATCTCAAGCTCGGAGATCCGTCGTCTGATGGATATGGGATTGGGGTATCCTTGCCCACTCGTTATAGCGGAGTTTCTCAACGTATAGATTCACAAACGGAGTCTCATTCGCCAAAAAAATCTCAAAAATGCTTTCGTCTTTTCGTTCAAATATGCTTTATGTTTGTCAGAACCATCTTTTGAGTGAGCTCAAAATTGGGCTTCGACTTGAAATAATGGGTTAGAGTCGTCACCAATCATTTATTTTAAAAAAACAAATAGGTTGATTGGATACCTCGATTTCTTACCTGATCTGCATCTTACCAAAGACATGTCAGATTCGGGAGTCAATTACAGTTAAGGAAGGGTTAGCACCCTTAAACTGTCCTTTCAGTACTAATTAATTTCCAATTTTCTTAATTAGGAAAATTGCAAGTTAAATTAAAAGGTAAAATTTTGATCCAAATTACTTACCCTTAATTGGATTTTAAGAAAAACATACCCTTAAGAAGTTAAGAAACATGTTAGAAGAAAAACAAATGCTGAATCGAATTAAGTAACCATATGTATGCTGAGGAATTGAAGGAAATAAAAAAAGTACTCATATTAAAACACACAACAACTGAAAAGAAATCTATTTAGAA